CCAAATGAACCGACTATATTTTAAGGCATCCTTTGAAGTGACTTTATACTCAAATTGCAGTAGATGCGCCAAAAGTATTTTTAATCATAGTTGAGACCATTAAAAGAACTTAATTTTTGAAACCTTAAAAAGCACGTCCAACTTGATCGAAACTTGGAGTCATTTCAAAACTTTTGGTTGTCAAATGAAGAAATAAAGTGCACCATTTGATCCATGGCGTCAAACAAATTAGGTAAGGAACATGTGAAAAAGAGCCGACGAGGTGAGGTGGTGGAAGAATTGCATTTTTCTTTATCTTTACGTTCTTGTATTTTTATTTTTACATTTAAAGATTTAATAACATTTTTTTAGTTTGTTACTTAAAAGAGAAGGGCATATTTTAGAATGAACCCCACTAATTATTCAAAAGTTTTGGTAGAAATGTTACAAAATAATGGTGCGGGATAAGATTGCAAAGAGGATAAAAGGTTGGGGGTCATTGCTATAATTACCCTTAAAAGTGAGAGACAACTTAAAAGCACCAATTGTTGAATCAAGAAACACATCCAGGGCAGAACATTTCAAGGGATGAGACAATATTATGCATATATAGCTTCTAGTAATACTTTTTATCGCCTACCAGACGCCACTGATTCAGTAGAGAAGAGGTATTTCACCCGGGAAAGAACGGAGTCTTGTGCAGGATCGTAAGGATGATCCTTGGAAGGTATCTCCAGAATTGCTGGTATTGGTTTGTTATAGCTATCTACTAAGAACCTTATCATGTTTGCAACCTGAAAATCAATGTAAATGTGGCGAATAACTGTGAACAGTGACGAAGAGAAAATACATATAACTATTGAAACGAGCATATGCAAGTATTTGTGCTATTGGGAAATTTTCTTTTCAAACAAATTATAATCAGGATTTATATAGCATGCTAAGAAAGTGAAGTAATAGCTTACATATTGGCTGATTAAAACAATTGCAATGTCTTCTCGTGTTGTGAATTCTTTGAATGCCTCTTCGATCTGTTTCATTGTTGTTTCTAAACAAAAACCAGGAATTCTCAACTAGTTAACGAATAAAACTATTGAAATAACAAGAAAAATTGATATAAGATACTCGCACACCGAGAACTTGTTAGCTTTGATCACACGAGTGATTGTTAGTTTTCATTTCTGATATAATGTAATATATCGTGTTTACGAGAGGCGCTCATGGGTTCAAAGATAGATCAATGGCAAAGGTCGTGTCACCATGCACCACCGTCATAGTGACCAATATATTTCAAGCTTTCATCTGACTAATCTGTCTGAAGTCGAGGGAAATGAGAGATTTAGCTCAAATCCATGTATTTACAATCAATTCAAATGGGGGGCATGTCAATTGAACAGTGTGGCATTCTTTCTCCAAGAAAATTGTGCATCAATATCAAGGAAAATGCCTATTCCAGTGGAGAACATATGCAAACCACTGGCACAAGGAAAATTGTGAAATAATGCAGGTAAAAGTATTATGAAGAGTAAATTTAATCAATGCTTACCCAACTTTAGTTTACAACTATAAAATATAACCCATTGCCCACCCAACTATCCAATTACTTACCCATCCATCATCCATTTAATCTCTGTCAACTTCAACTAACGGAATGTGCAACGTGGCGGATTGAAATCCGACATGGCGCACACACAACGGACTTTAAATCAGGTCAACTGGGCCAAAACTGCTAAAATCCTACGACAATTTAAAACACGTTTTCTCTAAAAACATTGATTTCTCTGTATTCAGACAAGAACCCTCATTCCCTCTTTGTCTGCATTATTACTCTCCCAAATATGAATTCAAAGATCGAAATTCCAAGTTGATTAATCGCAGCCTACCTAATCCTGAGAAAAACCAAAAGCATTGGAACCAGAAAAAAACCCCAACCTTGGGGTATGGAGTGAGGCATCTTCTCCCTTAAGGCGCCTTAAGATTATCGCCATGTCATATACCATTGAATATGGAACATCCATGTCTTGCCCTATGTTGTAGCTGTAGCCGCAATTCTTAAGGCCACATTCAGATGTCAAAATTAAACAAAAACATGGGCACACCAATAACGGACTTGGTGGGAATATAGCAAATCCATTTCAGTTCAGTGCAGGCCACATTTAACCTTCAAAAGCAGCAGATCATGGACTTGTTTATAATGCTTCTTATACTAATTGTTGTGCAGAAGACGAGGCGGGTATCCCTTCTTATACATTTAGCCTTCAAAAGCAGCCTTCAAAATGCCTGTCGTGCAAAAGAGGAGGTGGGTATCCTATCCTTCCATACCCTCTAGCCGAACAGATATATCCAAAGACAGGTTTCCAGTACAATTTCCAAAGACCGCTCGCGATATTTCTTTATTCACAGATCAAATGATTATGTTTTACTAGAATATTTAACTTTGCCTTCCACACTATTGAAGATTTGAAGCAACTAAAATGGGCTCCAATAATCACATTGTTTACTAATTTATCCAAAATACAAATCCTAATGTCAGTGGGCTGAGAAATGGCATTCTATAATTTTCCTTTTTCTCTGATAGATGGGTGCTTTAATAAATAACACCAGAGCAAGGCATGTGTGATTGAGAGGGGCAGGGAGAGAGTATGAAATTCAAGATTTTAGTTGGGATTTTGAGGATGATTTTTAGGGTTCTTCATGAAGTTAGGGGCGAATTTGTTTCCTTTTTGGGGCTACATAGAAGCGTGTTATTACACCGCTGGGATTTTATCCATTTTGGCCTAGTTGACCCGATTTAAAGTGTGTTATGTGCACGTCGAATTTTCGTCCGCCACGTGACACATTCCGTTAGTTGAAGTTGACAGAGATTAAATAGGTGATGGATGGGTAAGAAATTGGATAGAAGGGTGAGCAACGTGTTATATTTTATAGTTCGGTGAGCAAGAAGTAACGTAAATTAAAGTTGGGTGAGCATGGATTAAATTTACTCGGCTTATGAATGATGACATGAAACCTCGTTAATTATTTGCTACTTCATATTAAGAGAATCAAATTGCACTGAGAATAAAAATATGAACAGCCGAACATGTCGTAGTTCGCACCAAAACACGAACCCCCAATTACACATTACGCTACAATTTGGAACCTAAAATTAAGAGAAAAACAGATCTTTCAGATACTTGAATACTGAAATTGATTCAATAGTCAACTACGAGTAGTAGTAAAATTCAGTAAATGCAACACAAAAAAATACATAATTAACATGAATTCAGCTCGATTCAGATAGTAAAAATCAGTAGTAACACAAAATATAATAGGCAATCATAGCAATGAGTGCTGAACTGTTTGTGCGGATCTGAACTCTGCTCGCCATTTATATAACAAGCAACAATAACTTCTACAACTGCAAGTTCGGGATAAAAAATGCTTCCAAAGGATTGAACAGGGATCTGAACAGTGAGATATCTGTGAAAGGATTGATTTTGATTAGGGATGGCAAAAAAACTCGACAAACCCGATACCAGCCTTCGGGGTCAGGATGGGGCGGGGATGGGTAATGGACGCCCTGCTCGGTCCAGTTAAATTTTTTTTTTTAGAATTCAATACTTTAAATAAAAAATTTCATTAGTTCTAATAGAAAATAACAATTTAAATTATTTGTCTAAATCCAAGAATATGTGCAATAAAAATAAATTATTAAAAAGTTAAAAAAATAAAAAGTGAAAAGGGTAGTAAACAGGGCAAGGATCCCTCCTGCCTTAAACAGGTAACGGGGTGGGCACAGGGAGGGCCCCCGTCCCGTTTCGTTGCCATCCCTAATTTTGATAGTTTGAACGGGCATATAAGTGTGATTGCCCCGAGGTGGGGGGTGGGAGTGGGTAAATTTGGTCTTACGCCCTCGAGGAAAGTAATTGTTCCAGCATGGCCCTCGACATTTGTTAATTCAAATCCAAACAACCTGTTATATTTATTTATTTGAATAATGTTACTTATATATAAATAGTTACATAATGATTTATGTACAGATTATATGTCAAAAAGAGAGTGGAGACGTTTTTTATTATTATTATTATTTCATTCAAAAAATTCTGATTCAATCATATCTCAACATATCATATGTATGTACATCAATAATGTACATATAGCACAATCATATTTATTTTAGGAAGTCGCATATGAGAAACAAGCAAGAATTCGAGGCCCATTATAAAATTCAGTGCACGAACCTATCAAGAAAATGGAATCCAATCCTTTCCTTTTAGTCACAGTGGCTTCTCGCTCCTTGTGCCAAAATGCTATTACAGTGTATCAGTTATGTGGTTTTATTAGTTCCTCTATTACTTTGGGCTAAGCAGTGAACAACAAATGGATCAAGAACCTTTCACAAAGACCCTTGGAATAGTTGTCGCACCTGATTGGACTCACCATTATTATGCCTTCTCAGTCTTCGCCACCCTAATTCCTTAACCAAATAGGCCCCCGTCTTCTTCATCCAGCCGCATTGCATCCATATGTATCAAATAGTCCATTGAATGTACATTCAGAGAGGGATAAAATTGCTTCTTATCCTCATTAATTAATTAAATCTCCACATATCATGTGTTGATAAACAAATTGCGGAGGATGGTACTTATTAAAAAATATTTTTCTTTTAAGTTAACCCAGTCACTTCTTTCCAGAAAACACAACCGATTTTCAATTTACTACAAGACTTTACTCTTATCTACTTCTATCACTCGAGAGTTCGCATCCGAACTAGTACAATCTTTGCATAAATAAGCTAATGGCACCATCTATAGAACTAGCAAGACTGCCAAACAGACATTCAAGATCCCCCCCCCCCCCCCCCCCCCCCCNCCCCCCCCCCCCCCCCGCGTCGAATCACTGCAACAATAATTCATCCAAGATTCTGCAACTAACAAATTACCGAATACAGAAATCCATTTCCTTGACTTAGCAATAAAAAGGGGAAAGAAACGCGCCATGAGTTAAGGATTCATGAACTTCTTGGAAGCAACGAGTGATTACGGCTGAATCTTGACACCAGATTGGAGACCTGCTTGAAGTTTGTTTGAGAAATGTGCATCCACCCTGCAAGGCCATAAGAAAAAAAATGTTAAATAGACAAACAAGAAAAGAAAGGTAAGTGAAGTGAAACTTTAAAGCATCAAAAGTAGGTTCATATCATGCCTGGTTGCACATTTATAATAAATAGTGTCTGGGGAGTTGTAGGTCTTTGCATTAGAAAACATTCTCCGGACATCCGCCACAAACATCTCAAAAGTCACATAATACTGCTCCGAGTCAACTCGCCTTGACATTGTTTTCAAATCTGCAGGCATATTAAAGCAACTGAATTATAAAGCAACATGTCTAGTAAAACTCCAGCATATGGAGCTCATAAACTGAAGATGAAACATTTGCTAACATCAACCCCATAATGGAAAAAAAAAAAAAAAATTATAACCAGACCGTATTTGGTACACATTATTTTTTTCATTCTCATTCTTCTACTCATTTTAAGAACACATTTTTCAATAAAATAATATTTTACATCACATCAATAACTTTTCCTTCATTTTTAACCGCACATTCTCCATCAATCTACTATTCAATAATACATTCTTTCAAAAGAATGTGTCCCAAGCACACTCCCAATAAGTAAACTCAACATTGTTTTAGAATGAAACATGTTCACAGTTACTCAGATTTAGGAACTTGTCTTGCGATTTTGTCAACAATAATTGTGGACAGCCATAAAACCTTTATATATTCAACACTACGAGAAATATTATGGTCGGCAACTTCAATTAGTCTCCGTTTGGCAAAATTTATAAATCATTTATAAATGTCCAAACTTCATTTTCAAGCACACTACAAGTATTATCCACTTATCAATCACTCATTTCTATTTATTTATAAATTAAACCATTCATACATTCTTCCAAAATGGAGGCTTAATGCCCGGTGCCAGTCCCACATTATCTCGGGTTAGAAACAAAAGTTTCACCGTTCAATTCCATTTAGTGTTATTGTGCTAATCACAGTCCACTAGCCCACAGTCAAATAGTCGATATTTTATTATTTTATACGTGAATAAACTAGCACCCAAAATTAGTATTTTAATATCCCATCATCTTATTGAATTTCCATGCTTCTTGTGCAGTTATAATGCCTTTATACAGGCCCCTTTGCCCCGTGCTCAGCCCCTTCTATTTTTATGAAATTCTGAAAATACCAGCCCCTGATCGCATAAGAAGCGTGTCACTATGAGCCATAGCCATAACCATAACCATATATAAATCTATGGGCAGATTGAAATGAGGTGAGCAGATTTTTAACCACTAGGAAAACTGTATTTGAGGAAAAATATTCTTTGTTCAACTTCTTTTGATAATGTATGGACCCATTTAAGTAGACTAATGAGAATTATACCAATTGGATCTTTGATGATGACATAGTAATCAGGCACATCTCTCGCATCAACTGGTTCCTTGAATGGCCAAGCATCTGGGTGGTCATGCATTGCCTGCTCAAATAGGAAGTATTCAGTAAGGCAACAGGATTGCAGATATAAGTGAAAGCATGATCTATAAAACAAGTCAAAATTGAACTTCCGGAGTGGTTGTGACCATCATCCTTATTATTCTAATAAATAAACATGTATTTAAATATTGGAAGAAAAAAGACCAAGGAGACTGAATCTGTATTAAATGCCAATACGACACGTGAGCTTTGAGATGGTTTTGCAACCAAGGAAGTATGGATCAGGACGAAGCCGCAGCTGCCAGTTATGCATATAATGGAAAAAAAGTGCCACCCATCGTGGAGGTATGATATATGATAATCAAAAAAATTATCAAAAATCTTTCACAAAATGTCAAACGAACTTTTAATACGAGGAGACTACCAATTCACAATGGAGATTGCCAATTAATCAGCTTTGACATAAATTCAATACAAGAACTCTTATATAAACATGTTCTACTTACAATTACATTCCTGGTTTTTTGACATTATCACATTTTGGTTCCACTTCATAAAATTATTTGCAACACTCGTGTGATTCAGGGAAAATGAAATAGTAGTTATCTTAAACAAGAATCTTAAGAGACTTACCTTCAGAAGTGAGCGCATGAATGCAGTTAATGATTTCTGATTTGAGGCACCATCTAATGATGGATTCATTGTTTTAAACCGAGAATAGCCATATTGTTCAGGGGTCCATCCTGCCTCTCCTATTATTAAATCACAGCCAAGTTCAAATTAGGATGATAAAAGCAGAGGGACAGCTTAGAGCCACAATTGGACTATAGGAAAATGGAAAAAATGAATGAATTAATTAAACACAAATTCTTCTCTAAATATACAAGTTGGAATAGCAAAACTGTATCAACTAGCTCAAGGCTCGTGGGACTTGATTGTTGGTTTAACCAGGATTTTTAGATCCAATGAGCACCTTTGTGCAAGGAATGCTTAGAGAAGTTGGATGTCTCAAAGAGGAGGTAAACAAGAATAAAAATAGATCGTTTCATACCAGCCAACTTATACAACACCTGAATGATAATAAGAGGCAAAATATATAAGCATACCGAGATCACAGGATCAACCAACATTTCAAATTAAACATATAAGCATACCGAAAATATAAAAAGGTGCTTTATTCTGGCAGAATTTTACGGTAATACAAGAATCAACAACTTACTCAAGCCTGGTATATCATCGACCTTCATGGATATTTTGGGAACACCCGCTTCTTTCTGGATGAAACAATTCATATCAGTATTATAATTGAAACGTGCTCCTTTTCTTTTTCTCTTTAAATTCATAATTTAGACATACATTGAATGACATAATACAGTTGAAAATATAAAGTGCCAGCAGAAGACAGTCTGTTATATACAAGACCTGCACTACATGTGCACCATAAGAGATTATCACTTCCAACTAGAAGCTAAAAAAAAAAAAATTGTATGCAATTAAGCTTTTTTTTCCTCTTCCTTTTCAATTTAAGGTGAAGAGAGGAGCAAAATCAGTCACCTCTTAATTACTGAAGATCAGCATCATGTGGCATTGTTTGCGTGAATCAACAGAAATCTTATTAGAAAAGAAATCTTTCATCAACAACTGACTTTTATGTACAAAGTACGAGTCAATTCAGATTTGGATGTTCATTATCAAAATAGTTGAACTAAAAGATTAAATCATGCCATCATGTGTTACCCATGTCATGTGTCTGGTCAACCATAATCTTGATAAGAATGAGTTTTATAGGAAAATTATGTCTCAACATGGTTGGCATATCTCATAACTGGAACTAGCAAAGTCCAAAACAATAATGCACCCACGTCTTATCTTATTTGGGGATTGGTAAGTAAATATTCATTAAGCAATTGCTGGCAATTAACATGCCAAACATCACTGATTTTTTATTTCAGATGGTCTTCATAGTACGATCTTGAATCGTAAAACAAATTCCATAGCTAAATCTCAAGAGTGCAACTACAGCCGAGACCAGAGCAAACAGGCCGCAGAATCCCTTTCCTTTACAATGAGGATTTCAAATCGACATATGTTGACAAACCTTTTTCCTCTGAATCAAGATAATGCTCAAGGACCATTTTCTTGATTCCTTTAATTCAGACAAAATAGTTCAGCAACGTTAAAGAAAAGAATGGTAGATACGGGACAACTTATTGTAAAACTCAGAAGGACATTTTAATGGCTCAGATAAACAGAACATGCTATTCAACTCAGCATCCACTCAGAATATGCCAACTTTTCAGACAAGATGGCATTAGTCTGAAGCTGATAGCCAGCGGGGATTCAGTAGATCACATAAAACCTTAGAATGAAAGTTAAGTGGTGCATATACCTTCTGAAAATCAATTCCAGGGTAGACGATGTGACAATTTGAGAGCTCCTTAATCTTTTCATCAATTGCCTAGCAATCAAAGACAATATAAAACAAAATTGCAATCATACCAAGCATGTGCATTGGATTAAATTAGAACCTTTAGTTAATCAACAACATCATTTCCTTTAGTCTCAAACAGCGTCAACTATTTGAATAAGCAACTGATCATCCTACCTGCCTTTGGCAGCGAATCATAGTTGATAAATCAGTATATGGAAGTTTTGGATCAATTTTACATTCCATCAGGATTCCTCCATCATAATCTTTAATATAGCTGAAAGAAACAGAAACTTCTGCTTATAGTCAAATTGGTGAAATTAGAATTCAGATAGCAAAGAATTTCAGGCAACTGAGTATTTACTGTTGTCTCATAATACAAGGTCTCAACTCAGTACTTGGAATAAAGAAATCATAATAGAAAAATATGCAAATGAGGATTGTTTCCTTCACTCCATTGGTAGTAACCCGATCTGAGATTTCAGAATCAAAATAAAAATGATACTTAACATACCCATGCCACCGTTCTTTGTCCAAGAAAATTTCTTTTGTAAATCCCTAAAAAAGCAAAAAGAAAGTTAGAGGCAGCTCATAGACGAAACCACAACATGAAGAAACTAAAATAGCCATCAGACATACAGAAGTAGCATTAAAAAAAAAACACGAATCCCCAGAAAATTGATTATTGCAGGCACCACAAGTAATTATGGCCGTGTTCGGTAGTGATTAAAATCAGATTAAAATTGAAAAACCAGACGTTATTTTTTATTTTTATTAGACGAGTGACACCCAATAAAAACTATATTTTTAATTTCAATTGGATTTTAAACCCTACCAAATATGCTCTATAACTATATTAAAAAAGAATAGTTAAGAAGCCCAGAATGACATAACAATTAGAAAGATCCTGCAAAGCATAGTGTGAAAGTTACATATCTAGAAACCTCCCATCCTGGGGTTTCCCTAGTCTCCTTTTGGAAAAGTATAAACTTTCTCCAGTTACTTAATCAGCCTTGGTGTATTAAATAAAAGCTAAGCTTGTCTGAGAAATCAGATGGACAAAATTTTAATGTTACATTTGCTTTAAAACTGAATCCTGAAACAATGAACAACCTGTAGGCAAAAATGAAGAGAAAGAAAGGTTATTTACTTATGTTAAGGTTCCAAACTCCATGTACTCCCACTTTGGCTAAACGATGAGATGATAACAGTATCACATAAGCTTTCCTCACCAGGTCATTTACTCAACATATACCAAAAAATTCAACAAACATATTATGTAGAGGTATTACATGCAACATAACAATTTTTTGAATCCTTTTTAAATATATTCATCATCATAAACATCATTGGGTAATTCAATCAATATGTGTTTATAAACTCGAGTTAGTGGAGGTTCTCAAGTCTCATCCTGTTCATTTAATAGTGTGCACGAAATGGAAGATTTTATGGGTATACCATTCATCCTCTTTTTCTAGTGAGTGTCAAAGACTAACAAAAAGTGATTGAAATCTTGTCTCTTTCTGCCAGGGCAGATTTGCAAATTCGTGTTTCCCTTTCTCCTCTGGTCTTTTTCACAAAGTAGGATAAAGAATTGGTAAAGATGACTATTAGTAGCCCGATGAAAAATAATGATAATAATATAGTGCATTAGATTATCAAATTGCAGAGTGATGTAATGCCGATCATCCAATTTTCCCAAATATAATGAATATTTCAAGCATAGGATGAAATATAAAACCTGCTTGACAAAGTAACCAACAGCATTGTTGTCGGCATACGTGAGAAAATGTGATAGGCCATCCACATCACGTGCATGCTGTTTTAGATGATTCATCAGCCGGGTACCATAGCCCTTAACTTGTTCATCAGCCATAATTGCACAAAATGCTATCTCCCCAAATTTTTGGCTACAGGTTTTCGAGTTCAGCATCATAGAGAGTGAGAGCATATTATCCAAACAACACAAATATCCAAAGGAAGCCAAAGGGTCTATTCTTTTCTTTTTCACATTTATTATACCACGAATAATCGAAAGATGTATATTGGCATATATTACCTGATGTAGGGCCGGTAAGTAATCCCACCAACAACCAGATTACGTCTGATTACCATCACGGATTTATGGTTTCTACACCAGACAGAACAAAAGAAAAAAATTAGAAGGATTAAAAGTGGGATGAAGTGTCATGGAAAGCAGATATTTGTGATTTGCATGCTCAAATTTCTGGAAAATTATCTATTGAGAAGAACTACTTCCATTTCTGCAGCGCTATATACCAGAAATTTGGATAAGTAGCAACTGGCTGTTAACTAGAGAACCATCGAAACACCTCTAACAATGAATCAGCACATTTAGATGAACAGAGAAATCTTTACATGATAGAAGTCCGAAATTCTAACTTTAATAACCTAGTACAGATTAGTATGATCTTTGGAAGCTATGATAAAGTGGCAGAATGATGTTATACAGGGGGTTCTTTCAATTGCTTTAGTAAGCTGATTAATTTATCTGTCAAGGAACCATATACCATGAAAAATCAACAAGCTGGAAACACACAATTGAACCAAAAAAGAAAACTAACCAATGACTATTGCCTACATTAACACATGTGACCATGCCTGTGTTTGGGAAACATTTTTAGCAAATTAAATAAGTTACTTCTACTATCCAGTCGAAATCACACTTTAATTTTAACTACACATTCAAACTACTATTATCATCCACAAATTCCATAGTCTTCACCTTATTCCTCCTAAAAAGTTCCTAAAGTTGCTAAAAATGTTCCCGAACAAAGGCTATAGCCTATATATTACTAGAACAAAGATTTTACATAGAAAACTTCAAAAGAACCCACGTATACCTGTCCATTATCAGACGAACAATGTATTCCCTCGGCATATTGGGTAATTGCCTAGCAAAAATGTTCTTCAATCCTATTAACCTGAAACGTATGAAGATATTAGAATTAACTTCACGTTGCAGTACGATATTTGACAAAACTAAATTTGTGAGCCAGGAGGAAATAAAGCAAAGAAGCACAATTTATAATTAACAGACAATTAGATGTAACATGAATTTTGAAGCAAAGAGAAATAAATACCAAACCATATGCTCATCAATACCGTCATTCGAAACACATACGAATTTGAGTCTTCCTGCTTCTTCCTGTCATTTGAGAGACACAAGGAAAAATTGACAGCAAAGTAAAAGAGGTGCAGAGTAATCAAAATGATAATGCTTTAGTGCAATACTTCACATGCAGACACTTTGCAACACCATCTAAGAAAATAATTCCAATTTCCAACTAATTCGTAGTTGGATAAATCCAAACAAGAATATGCACACGCTGGTGCAAACACAGACGCACAAGTGCATGGTTGCACCACATTTCACCAGGAGATATAAAGAGGATGAAATATAAACATTAAATACATACAAACATTTATACCCTCTTACGATCTACGCTGCAAGTATATAAAAATGGAAAAAGAAAAAAAAAATCCATAATGCTTAACCCTGATAAATTTTTAGTTTGTGATTTTCTGAATCACACGAAATTAGAGTGGAACTGCAACTACATAAACTAGAAAAAGAAAAGAAATTTCAAAATTATTATTGAAGATACCTCTCTCTTTAAACTTTCCTCCCTCGAACTGTAAGCTCCACCAGTTTGTATGTTATCAGTAAAAATACCAGTGGCAGACCCGGCAGCCCCAGGCACCGCCGCATTGGCTGCATTATTATTAGAATTGCTGTTGTTAATACCGCTGTCTTTTGTTATATCAGCAGGCTCAATTTTCACCAAATTCTCGGTCTTGAGCTTATTGCTCCTGGCTGCAGCAGTGGCAGGGCCAGAAACATTGCTGTTTTCCAGTCGCGTCGCAGTAAATTTGCGCATGGAGGAATCGTCATACTCCTCATCCACGACCTCCTCGGACTCGTCACCTGTATCCGAGTCTGCTCCGCGCGCGCTGATGCTCTCTAAATCGTCGTTCGAGGTCAGCGCGCCATCGCGCGTGTCGGATAACGACGACGGGAATGGTGGAGCGTGGTCATCCGACGCCAGCTTCCGCTTGTGGATTGACGACGTGGCGGAGGCAGAGGCGGAATGAGACGGTGATATAGATTGCGAGCTCCGTGAACGGCCCGGTGCCGTTAAGTGCGATGAGCGAGTGTCCATTCCTAGGGTTCAGTGAAAGGGCTTTATTAATTCTGAGAATCTAGAGGAAGCAGGGAATTGATAAATTCAGTTTACAGATTCGGAGTCCAAAGATTGTGAATTTTCTTGTGTAGAATTTGGGATTATTTTAATCTTAATAATTGAAATCGAAAACCAGGTATATTTCACATTATAAGACGTCAAGATCATCTCTTGAACAACAGGAGAAGTGCCACTGGCCACTTATTTCAACATTTTCCAACGAGAAAACTATCAAATTGGACCCCAACCAAGTTAAATCGAATGGAGCGGTCTTCATAAATTATATATCCGAACCAATATTTGAGTCGAGAATTGACGAATTTGGTTCGATTTTCGATTTAAATCAAGAATCGAACAAGAATCGAATCTTCCTTATTTTTTAAACTTAAATAAGTCAAATTATTTTATTTTTTTAAAATAAAAAAATAAAACCGACGGATTTGGTTCGATTTTTGATTTTAGACCAAGAACTGAAAAATTAAAGAAGAACCGAATCTCCCTAATTTTCTAAACTTAAATAAGTCAAATTATTTTATTTTTATAAAAATAAATTTGCTAATTAATTAATTTGCCCCAAACTCAAATTTGCTAATTAATTAATTTATTTTTCCTATTTCTAATTTCCAGCACTAGCCCAACTTGACCTAAAACGACTGTTTATCTCATTAAACGACAACCAACACAATTGTTGAATAATAAATCACCATTTGAAGCCTTATTTCAACAAACTCCAAATATCTCAAGTTAAGAAAACTTTTTTGCCTTTGTTTTCGCCTAACCTAGCTTTATAACTCAAATAAACTCTAGCCCAAATCCATTCCATGCCAGTTCATGGGCTATTCCTGGATCCAAAACGCATTCAAGTGCCTTGATCTCAACACTAAACGCACCTACTCTCTTAGAGTAATGTTATTCATCCTCAGTGGGGATACAAACATAGTCTATGTGCCTTTAAATGATAGGTTAAATGAAAGATGAAATTGAATAACTTATTTAATTTCACCTATCATTTAATGCCACATTGACGCCACGTAAACTATATTTTTATCCTCAATGGGGATGAATAGCATTACTCATTCTCTTAGCACATTATCTTCGATAAAACCAAAAGCCCCATCAAGACCCAAGATACCTGCACCTAATCCTCGCCATCTATGTTGCCCATCTCAACGATGCCCCTGTCGCGACTACCTAATTACCCTAATTTCTCTCTTCAAAATTTCCCTAACTTGAGCTCTTTTTCTTCAATCGCACCACATGAGTGAATCCACTCACTCCATTACCTCACCCACGACGATTACACAAATCCCTTGTGTAGAAATCACTGAGCCCGTAGTAAATAGCCCACCTCCTGAAATAACTCAAGTCCACACTGAAATTACGATGTTCGACTCAAATTACACCTAGATGGAGGTTAGTAGGTGATTATGTGGAATTAAAATTAATAATTAAAAGCAACATGTCACTTTTAATTATTTCTAGATGATTAAGCATACAAGTCCAATTATTCTATGTTTGAATATCGCAATAATAAGGAAAGTAATAATAAACACCAATATGATAAAGGAGAAACCCCAACTGAGTAAAAACTCCAATTATTCTATAGACAATACAGAGTGAGTTACAGTTAGATGCTATCTAGCCAACTTCACTAGACTTCCCAATCTATTTTTCGTTAACTCATAAGTCTACTTCAAGACCTGCTCTAAGATCTGCTCCAAGGTCTTGTGCTCTTCCTACGCTTGTAATTCAACCTCTCTCAACCTCCAGTAATCTCTGAAGTTCAACTGAGAAAGTACATTCCTATGACCGATATGAAGTATGTTGTGTTTCGGTTTAATGAGTTTGATGTTTTTCCGAAACACGTGGTTATATGATCTTAAGAACAAATGATGAATCACAATGAAAGAATATATTCTTGGATTTTTAGATAATAAGATGAGGCAATGAAAATCATCTTAGAATTTCGTCAAATGGCTTGGATATTTATAGGAGAGGGTAATTGGGTTAAATGAGCCGGAAAAATATGTTTAAAAACTCAAATTAGGGTTTTCCGTATAAACTAGTCGCTCGAGCAAAACCTCAACGATAGGCTAGCGACGGGGATTCTATTTTTGTCGCTCGAGCAGTGTCTAGGATATAGGTTAGCGAAAATACGACACTGTGATTCTCCTCTTTTCATGCTCGAACCCTATAACTCATGATATACAAATTGAACCCCTGGTCCTTGACATTTACAACACATTACAAATTAGTCATTTTGTCCACAGAATTGCCAACATTAAAAACCTAACACACACCATGAACAACATCCATACGCCGAAACAGTTAAACTCAATCACAAAGCATCCCACTCAACCCACCATTGAACCAAACGGTGTGAGACACTCATTCTGCGACCCAAAATGAAGACGTGCTATGTTTAAAGAACTCACATCATCGATGAAAAATGGTACGCGAGACTTAGTTCCCCCTCTTATACATCGCAAACCAATGGGCTGTAAATTGGTATTTCGAGTCAACAGGAAAGTTGACGGGTCTGTTGCTCGCTTTAACGCAATACCCATTGCCAAAGGGTACAACCATCTCCCTGGCTTGGATTACAAGGAGACATTTAGTCCAGTTGTGAAACCAACAACAATAAGATTTGTCTTAACTATTGCTGTTATGCAATGGTGGATTCTAAGACAACTTGACGTCAACAATGCCTTTTTGCATGGAATGCTGACTGAAGTTGTTTACATGGTCCAACCTCCTAGATTCAAGGATATGTCCAAGCCTAATCATGTTTGCCAATTACACAAGGCCATTTATGGTCTAAAACAAGCACCAAGAGCCAGTATTAGGCTCTCAAGAAAACCATTATAGAGCTCGGGTTTGTGAATTCTGAAGCAGGTTCTTCATTATTTATATACAAACCAGCTATGTTACATGTTTTCTATTGGTGTATATGGATGACTTAGTTATAACTGGTGATGATACTCAATTTGTTGCTTTAATAATTGCAAAACTTGGAAATTGTTTTTCTTTAAAAGACATAGAACATCTCCATTTTTTTTCCAAGGCACGGAAGTTATACTTATAAAATCTGGCCTCTTCTTGTCTCAGCATAAATACATTAGAGATATATTGTCCAAAAGTAATATGCTCAATGCAAAAGATGAGTGTACACCATTGTCAACCACTATAGTCCTCAAACTCATCGACGGAACCAGCTGAGTTGAAAACACATAATTCATAAGTGATATAGGTGATCTTCAATATCTCTCTCTTATAAGACTAGACATCTCATTTGCAGTGAATAAACTCTCTCAGGTCATGCATAACCCATTGCAACTCATTGGACAGCTGCGAAGAGGCTCCTTCTTTACTTGAAACAAATTTTTTTTTTTATAGAATTCACATCAGAAAAACCAAATCATCAACTTTTACAACCTGCACTGATGCGGATTGGGCATGGAACTTTGATGATAGAACTTCAACTTCTGTTGACATAAGCTTCCTTGGTACAAATCCAATTTCTTGGAGCTCTAAAAAATATAGGGCAGTTGCTAGACCATCAATTGAGGCCAAATATAGAGCCCTTGCAAATGTGGCTTCTGAAACCATTTGGATCTTTGAATTATTTAAAGAACTCGGCCACCCTATATCCTCCATACTAAAGCTGCTCTGTGATAGCTTGGGTGCCATGCAACTGACCAACACTCACGAATGAAGCATATTCAAATTGATCTACACTTCGTGCGCAATATAGTTAAGAAAGGAACGCTCCACGTTAATCTTGTAAATACACAGGACCAGCTTGCAAATATTCTAACAAAACCACTATCAAGGCAATGTACGAAACAATTGAGAAACAAGATTGACCCTGCCGATGGCAGCCTCATCTTGCAAGGGCATATAAATGAGGATTCCACAAATCGAGCCAACGATCAAAAATCGGCCAACTTACCGACAATCATGCTTGTAACGATCATCATATTTGGACAATCAATTCTCTATAGCTGTTATTTTTGTATAGCCATAACATTAGCAAGTTTCCTAGAATATAGCTTGTAAAGTTTGTATTTAAATGTATATGAGTCCTTGTAAAAGTAGGTTGCGCAGTTTGCCATTTTTACAGACAAATAAAGACATTGTTCTTGCTCAATTCTCATCATATTACAAGACCCGTGCTTGATGCTGAAAGAACTGAGGGTGTGTTTGATAGGGTGGAAATAAGGTGGAAAATGGAATTGGTTTTCCATTTTCCAGCTTTATGTTTGTTTGGTTACTTTTATTTTCCTGGCAATTTGGATTCCTCAAGGAGGCCACATACTCACAATTTCCATGAAAACCTTGAAATCATTTTCCCACCTTTTAGTTTTTTTATTTTTTATTTTTGTGCTTTTTGCAATGATACCAAATTTCATTACCAAATGTAAAAAAAAAAATTTCACTTTCATGGACAATTTTGATGCAAACGAAGGCCAAACGAACACTAAACTTTGATTGAAAAAAAGATTTTTTAGGAACTTTTTTTTTTAATGGAAACAAATTTCATAACCAATTGTAAAAAAAAAAATTCACTTTCATGGACAATTTTCATACAAAACGAAGTCAAACGAACACTAAATTTTGATGAAAAAATAGTTTTCGAGCAAATTTAATTTTGATACAAATGAAGGCCAAACGAACACAAAATTCAAAAATTTTCCAGGGGAAAATTATACCAATCAAATACACTTAAAATCATTTTTTCTGTAAAATATTTTCTAGATAAATATTTTCCCTGTAAAACATTTTCTTTCCACTCATTTTTCAACACTGCAATCAAACGCACCCTTAATCAACCGGACCTGACCAAATAGAATGTCACATGGGTGAAAAAAAAATATATATTTTCTTTCAGAATTACCATATACTCGTAATTTGTGGAATATTACTATTTTCTCTACTTCGATCAATGACGGGTAAAAGTCAATTGAAAAATTTAAATGCTTTTCCCTCCCAAAGGAACCGCCAAAATTCCTCCCAAAATTAAGCTACAAATACCAAATCCTTCTTTCTCATAATCTCGCCCAATTTTTTGCTCTCCTATTCCATTCATTCCATACTTTCAATTTTCTAAGGTATCTAATCTGTCTCTGGATTTTGTTGATTTTCGTTTTTCTGGTTTTGCCAACTTTGATAGGTTAAAACCAGCCAGATCTTCATAAAAAAAGGTTGGTTTTAGCCTTTCTTTGTAATTCACTCTTTCCATGTATTTATTGAAAGTTTTGCAAGAATTAGAAGGAAGGAAAACAATTAAAAGTTGAAAAAACAACTGCACAAACAACGAGTTAATTGCTTACGAGATTCTGCGCGGCACATCTATTATACTCATATGATGCAATTAACAGTTGTGTTGTTTATTTACCCCTTTTTTCGTGAAAAATGGAAGGTAGGGTAAGGAAATGGCCGGAAAAGGTGGGAAGGGGCTTTTAGCTGGAAAGACTACGGCCGCTGCGGCAGCCACCAAGGAGAAGGATAAGAAAAAGTCAATTTCTCGGTCGGCTCGTGCTGGTCTTCAGGTAAGAAACAATAAATAGTTAGATCTGTCGATGCAAATTCAGTTTTAGTTTCTTTTGGCCTATTGTGAAGGGGAATCTTGATAAAGTCTTTCAAATATTGGTTAATAGAACCATTTTAAGCATTCCAGTGTCTAAAACTATGGAGCAGAATTTGCCTTTTTATCTGATTCAAGTGATATTAAATGAAATGTCAACATTAGTTGAAATACATTACTGTCAAAATTCAACTGATAGTTGCAGTTTCATGTGCTTAATTATGAAACACTTTGTGAACTATTGGTGGATCGATGAGTTGTTAATCACAGTGGCAATGCATGATCACTTACCTTCTTTTTGACATATACAGTTGCATTTATGTGGCACGAGTTAACGTGGTTATGGCCTGATGGCAGTGGTCGGTGAGGGCATCTCCAATGGTACCTAATATTTGGTGTAAACTCTCTCCAATGGTATCTCAAGTAGTGTAAAAGATCATTTACACCAAATATAGAGTTTTTCATTTAACATCATTTTATCCTTGTTCACACTTAATTAAATTGTTTCTTCTATCTACGTCCTTAATATTTTATAATTGATGATTCATAATTATATAAATATGATAGTTATTTTTTATTTAACATTTATTTTTAAATTCTAATCAATTAATGAGTAGTAATTATTTCAACGATAAATTAAAACGAGTTGTCATTCTCGTTATATGTAGTTTTTGTTATGTGTTCAAAGTAATTTTTATAATTTAAGGTATTATGTTTAATTTTTACTGATTTATTAATAAATGCAATATTTTAGTTCATTAAATATAATTTCTAATTTAAAGATTTTTGTAATAATATAATTTGTAAAATAAAATTTGGTGTAAAATTTAGCCCCTGTTTTATCCCCATTTTTGGGAAAATGTGTGGTTAAAAATTAAATTTAAGTTTTGGATTTACGTGTAAAATTATTTTATGGGAAAATGTATAGTTGAAAATGAATTTATGAATAATGAATTTTTAGAAAAATGAGGGTTAAACAAGCATTTAGTGTAAAACCATATCCAATGGACTACATCAAATTTGGTATAATCATTGGAGATGTTACATTAAATTTTGTGTAAACCATTAGAGATCGTCCGAGTGAGCATTAATCTGAAACTTTTCTTAGCTTACACATATCTATCCAACCTGTGATGTATACAATTAAGGGCGGAGGGAGGTGGGGACCAATGGGTTCACTCGACCGCGGTCACATGCCCCAACTGAAATCTGAGAATTTTTATAATATTATTATGTTGTATTTGATTTTGTTTGAAGTTAAAATTATTCCCCCATTGGTTATGAGCCCTGGCTCCGCCACTATGTTCAACCTGTAGTAATGTGTATGCTCGGAGAGCGAGGGATGACTTTGGTGTTAAATTATGTATTTGTAGTTCTTGTTTTTCTGTCATACCAGCTACATTTTTAACAGTTACTTCATTTTAGTTTTTAGTTGGAGCTTTTTGGAAGTGATTCTATTTTCAAAATGTATTTTTTCTGACATGCTAAGGTGCCTTGGCAATCTTTGTGTTTGATAATCTGCATTTATGTGTTAACGTCTGACTTTTAACTCGAACAACTTTCGCGTTTTGGGGGAGTGTAGTTTCCAGTCGGTAGAATTCATCGTCACTTAAAGTCAAGAACTAGTGCCCACGGAAGAGTTGGGGCAACAGCAGCCGTTTACTCAGCTGCAATTCTTGAATATCTGACAGCAGAAGTGCTCGAGTTAGCTGGAAATGCCAGCAAAGATCTCAAGGTAAAGAGAATAACACCAAGGCACTTGCAGCTGGCCATTCGAGGGGACGAAGAGCTCGACACTCTCATCAAAGGAACCATAGCTGGTGGTGGTGTGATTCCTCATATCCACAAGTCCCTCATCAACAAAACTACCAAGGAATGAATACAAAAATTTGTTTACTGATGAACAATGTGTCTATCCCGTGACTGTTTATGTCTCTTGTTTTAGGTATGTATCCTAGGCATTCATATGCAGGTCTGACCATCTAGTTGACTAGTAGATTTGTTTGATATTTGTCTTTTATAATGTTAGTGTCCAGTGGATTTTGAGTTTAAACATCATTTTTTAGGATCTATTTTACATTTTTTTATATCAATGCTGTGCTGCCATGGGGTTCGTGAAACTGAATCTGAGTTGTGTCGATCAGCTTACTGATGTAGTTCTTGTTTGACACACATTTTTTAAAAATATATTATTTCAAAATTCATTTTCAACCATACATTTTTTAATAAAATAATATTTTTCATCACATCAATAATTTTTTCTTACTTTTTAATCGCATATTTTTCATCATATCACTATTTAAAATACATTATTTCCTTAATAATATTTATCAAACATACTCAAAATATTGATTTTCTAGACCTAACCAATTCTTAAAGCATGATGAAATTTACAAAATAAACACTTTGTACCAGGTGTATTTATATTTTACATACTGTAGTCTCTAAATTTACATCTTGCATGTTATATTTTACAATATGGTAACTCAAAACAATTTTTGCTAAAAGAATTATGAATTTGCTGTTAATAGTTAAATAACCAAAATATCCATAATAAAAAATTGACAAAGAAATTTTTTTGTATTATGTTATGTAACACTTTATATGCCATTTTTTAATCTCCAAAAGTTAAATTACTATTTCATTTTAAATTATTTGTTTCTACTAAAATAAATTAAGCCTTATATGTAATGCAATTAGGAATCCAACTTATCTCAAAGTGTGCATGCATGGATAATGATAATTTAATTGAGATCAATCACATCATATATCCCATTCACTATAAGTGCATGTGTTTTTATATACTTCGCAAAGTAATAATATATTATATTTATCCTAATCCTATCACAATTGAAAACAAATTTATCTTATGATTGGATACTGTTTCGGCTATTAGCTTTGGTGATACACTTCAATCCCAATAGTGGTTTACATGCATTAGGACTTTTCATTTGATTACTATAAATAGAGACACAAATTCCAGCGATGAATTACTTTGATTTTTCCTTACATTAGCTCATTCGTTCCTTTCACCACAAGGAAAAAAATATTATACAAACATATGCGGCAGAAATCATTTTAAAGTCAGCAACCAATTTGAGAAAAGTTTTGGAACATGCAAAGCATACTTCGTTTCAAAAATCCATTTGATCTAATAAGGTAGGATACATGATATTACGTGCAACTGTGCAAGTTGATACTTCTTTACAATATTATATTTTTTTATGTAATTTATTTCATGAAATATTAATTGACCTACGAGTCTTAATGAAACGAAACGTGAGATTTCCTTCGAATTTTCACATAATTTTCAATTTAATATTCCACATTGAGTATAATTTTGAAATGATAATGAAATAATATTGGTAACACCCCAGATTTTAAGTCAATACAATTTGGGGCGTTACTCGAGTTTTCTCGATGCATACATAATTTTTTTTTTAAAAAAATTTTCATTTAACACAAAATTATATATTTTTATTATTTATATTTATACCTTCTTCCCTTCTATAATGCTTGCTTGTCGAAAAGGAAAAAAATTCATATACAATGGACACTAATAAAATTATGCATGCATTTTTAATAATTCTTAATAATCTTTCTAAAGCAAAGTTAGCCAGTTTTGCTACCATTTTCTAAAATTCATTTTTCTTTAAATTCATTTTCAATTACAAATTTAATGGAACTCACAAATTTCATCCACTTTTTAACTACACATTTCATCAACTTTTATCAAAATTTACTAAAATCTATTTTTAATAAATTTAAAAGGTGTAATTCTTATCTCTATGCATGAACCTAATTATATATAATTTTACGAACATGTAAAGATGTATTAAGTCATGACAATAATTCAAAATGAAAGATTTTGGACAAGTAGACACTTTTCTTGATATCATAGTTAAAAAGGACAGTGGGGTTATTCATTAAACTAATCACATTATATTGAGAATGTGATAAATAAGTTAAAATATTTGAACATTAAAGATGCAAATACCCCTTTGGATTCAAGTATCAAGTTAGTAAAAAATGATGAAAGATCAAATAGCTCGAATTGAGTATGCAAGTGTAATCAGAAGCCATACACAGTACAATGTACAATACCTGATGTTGCATTTGTTGTGAGTAAAATAAGTTGGTTTACTAGTAATCCAAGTTTGAAACATTGGAAGGTCATAGGGAGGGCTTGGTTACTTAAAGAAAACCAAAAACTTTGGACGACAATATACAAAGTTTCCAACTATTCTTGAAGGATATATCAATGCTACTTGGATATCGAGTACGGGAGAAAACAGATCTACTTCAGGTTGTGTGTTTACTTTTGAAAGATGTGCAGTTTCTTGGAAGTCTAAGAAACAAACATGCATTACACACTCAACAATGAAATTCGAGTTTGTAGCATAGGCGGAAACAAGAAAAGAGGCTGAATGGATAATAGATAATCTTTATGAAATTCCTTTGCGTGCAAAAGATTTTCTTCAATACCTATCTTGTGTGATAGTTAAGCCACTTTAATACGTGCATATAGTGAAGTATGTAATTGAAAGTCTAGACATATGAGTCTAAGACATAAGTATGTGAGAAAATTAACCAAGAATGGAGTAATTTCTCTCACATATGTTAAGTCTAGTGATGACTTAGCCGATCCGTTGACTAAACTCTTACTAGAGAGTTAGTAAGATCAACATCGAGAAGGATGTAATTGAAATTCCTTGATCAAAAGCTCATCAATGAAGGCAACCCTATCTAATTATACTAAAAAAGTATATCTAGGTTCAGAGGGTAATAACAAGTCATTCGATAAGAAGATAAGTTTCATCACTATTAATTTATTATAAAACCCTATCCTTGATAAATAATGCTGGTTGTTATGATTGGAGGGATAAGTTTATAAAACTCTTAATGAGGTTCAATATAAATTACAAGTACCTCTAAAAGTAACAAAGATATTGAAAGAACTTCACTTATGTAAACTTTGAGGTGGTGCTGCCTCAATAGAGAGTTAAAGATTAAAAGTTCAACGAATAGGATAAGTGCCATGCCATAATAACACTAAGTGAGTTTTAAAAACTTGTGAAAACATAACACTCGTGTGTGTGATTTCATTGATATTGTCACAAGGAATAATTGGTTCAAAGCTATCATGCTATTTGGAATTTCGATTATACTTTGTGAGATTTACACTATGTTTGGATTCAAATCAAAAGATATCTAATTCTTATGCATTAGTATTACAAAGTATGATTATGAATATGTGGAAATTTTGAACAAATGAGAGATTGTTATATAATTATTTGTTGTTTAGAATTTGGACCCTTTTTTGGGCCGAAATGTAAATGAATTAAGGCTAATTAGCAAAAAACGTCCCTACCTTTGGGGTGAATTTCGAAAACCATTCCTACCTTTCATTTCTTGGCATTTATGCCCTTACCTTTAGGGTTTTGGTGCGCTGAACATCATTTTCACTGTTTTTGACGATTTTACCCTCCATTCAATTTAGACACAAAGAAAAGAAAAGAAAAACAATCCAATAAAGTGCAACTATAGGCCCAAACTTTTTAAAAAGTGCAAATAATACATTAAACTTCACCTTCTTCCCAAAACTCGTCCCCATCCTATCTTTGCATGCCGGCCATTTTCAAGCCACCGTGGCCACCATTCCTACACAAATTTCAACCCAAAAGAACAACAAAATCGAACCAAAATTCGGCTAAAAAACAGCCTTCATACACTACCATCCACCCCATCTCTGTCCTGTCTCCATACCATTCACGTGCCAAGGTCATAACAATAGTAAGATACTGACTTAGGCAACTTCAGCAGTTCCTGGAAACCTAATCTAGCTAGCAACCCACTTCCAAATGCCACCAGAACGTTGTCCCGGACAGTTGAAGAGAGCTCCATTTCACGTTCAAAAGCATAGTTTTCTCTCCTAAGTGCCTGAACCTCCTCTTCTACGGATGGCATTGACTCCAAAATCTTCTGTACCTCTGCCATTTGTGCCTGACGATTCCATTACAGATGGGTAAACACCAAATATTGGTTGAAAAAAAGACCATCTGCTTCTGCGGGTAATTATACAGGTTTTGAATCAAGAAAGAAAAGGAAGAAAATTCATGGACCGACCAATTTCGACCCAGCCTGTTCGTGTACATTTCACCCATATTGTTGATGACCCATGAGTGGAATAGCTGTGCCATGAAGAGAGTATGTTAGCCTAGGTGGTCCGAGATCATGGGACCACCACCGTCGCCGGAATTTGGATTTTCCGATCGTGAACACATTTCGAAAAACTGCAGATTTTAATTTTCTTTGTTATTTGATGTAATTAGAACATGAATGGATGCGTCTAGGTGAGCTTGAGGGACCTGTGGAGTGTAATTAACATGGGCATCCATGGATTGGGTCGAAGTTGGAAGAAAACCGTGCGTGAATGTTGTTTTTTTGGTCGAATTTTGGTTCGAGTTTGATGTATTTTGGGGTTTGAATTTGTTTGATTAGGAGATGGTGTTGGTGCGAAAATCCAACGGCCATGGTAGCCTGAAAATGACCGGCAGGCAACGATAGGGTGAGGGGGAGTTTTGGGAAGAAGGTGAAGTTTAATGGGTTATTTGTATTTTTTAAAAAGTTTGGGCATATAGTTGCAATTTATTGGATTTTTTTTCTTTTCTTTTCTTTGTGTTTAAATTGAATGGAGGGTAAAATCGTCAAAAAACAGTGAAAAGGATGTTCAGCGCACCAAAACCCCAAAGGTAAGGGCATAAATGTCAAGAAATGAAAGGTAGTGACGGTTTCCGAAATTCACCCCAAAGGTAAGGACGTTTTGTACTAATTAGCCATGAATTAATGATGAAAAATGAAAGGCAAAATTGGGTGGTT